CATCTTAGATTCTCAAGCCGAGCAAGTTAGCTTCATTCCATACCCTCGCCTTAAAAGTTCAGGAATAACTTGGTTAACTGTTATCAAGATTACGTGGACAAATAATTGCTGGAGAAGAACCACCCTTGCAAGAAGAAGTGTGTGTCACTGAAGTAGAAGTACTTGATCAACAAACTGATGAAATCTTTCTTATTGATCCGCATAATCATCAATACGAAGATCTTCCCGACGATGTGATGGATGAAACATGTGAAGACGAGTTCGATGGTACCGATGATGATTCTCTTGATGTTGATGAGAACTCGAATGATTCCGAATGATGTAAAATATGTACCAAATGTTGGGAATATGTACCAAATGTTGTTCTTTTATATCAATTAACGGATGTGTAACAAATGGTGATGTGTAACGCTTAGGGTTTATAAAAAATTAAGAAGAAACTTTGGGGTTTAGGGATTTGATAACGTGGTTTAACATGTTGGCGGTAAATATTTTTATTAATATTTAATATTTAATATTTTTAAAAAAATTCATTTTATGGTTTCAGTAAAAGTGGCATTGGCCATTACCGATCAACGAGAAGGTGAAGGAGGTTTTTGTAGCAAAAGCCAAGACTCGTCTTTGCAACACCGTCTCGGACTGGAAGGACAAATGGGAACTCTACGGTTATGATGGGAAGTCCAAGGAGATCTCGAACTTTGTATGGAATGGTCTCATCCGCTATTGGAGCCTACCTGCCTCCGTCAAAAAGTCCAACTCGTGCTCTTCTTCCCGAAGAACGAAGGATAAGCACGGCAATGAACCCATGCTTCATAGAACCGGCCAAAAGCCTCACGTTGGGATTCGTCTAACTGTTGTAAGTTTAATTTTTAATATTTAAATTTTTAAAATTTTATTTATTAATTAAGTAATTAAAAAAATTAACTCTTTTATTTTTTTCTAGGCCGAGAAGACTGGATTTATGCCATCTCTGACTGAGCTATTCAGGATGACTCACGCCACACCAGATGGAGTTTTTGTTGATCCACGTTCCGAGAAACTCTATAACGATGTGGTTTCTCAGGTTGAGGAGCGGCATACACAACTAACCGAGCAGGCTCCCGATGGGTCACCTGTCACATTGACTACAGAAGAAGTCGACCTGATTTTCGAAAAGGTAAAAATTTTGAATAAATTTTAATTTGTTTATATTAATTCTATTATATTAATTAATATTTCAATATTAATGAATGTATTATATAACCTTTTTGGAAATAAGGTGGTTCCTAGAAAGAAGGGACGGACGGTGGGAATAAGCTCCTTAACGAAGTTCCAAGGGCAAATTCTTCATACACTCCGAGACGGGATGATGAACCTTCTCAGATGCGGTCTCGCATGGACTCCTAGCAGAAGCGTTTGGACTCACTTGAGGATTTGTTGGACATCATGGCGACCGGTAACCCGGTTATGCAGAGAGTGCTAAATAAAAGACGAGCGGCTCTCGGAATACAGCAATATCCTCCCGAGTCAACCGGTCGACCCGGCCCGGAACTCAGCCACCCCGACGAGTATCTCCGTAACAACATTCCTTAGTTTTTTATTTTGTTTGCTTTTGTATTATAAATTTATATATTATTTTATGACTTTTTTATATAATGCTTTTTTAAAAAATTTTAATTTTAAAATTTTTGGTTTCATATTTTAAATTACAAATTTTATAAATAAAAATATATAAAACTTTTTTAAAATTAAAAATTATATATCCATCCAAGTAAATTTCTTGTAAATTTTACAACGAGAAAACATCGAATTACAGTAAGTTCGTTGTAATATTTACTATGACTTTACATGTACTATTAGTAATCTCCTCATACATTTACATGGACTTAACATCGAACTTTTACGTGGCAATTACGTCGAAATAGAACAAGAAGTTTACAAGGGAAGTTAACGTTGAGGTTACGACGAACATTTCTACTTGTCTTTTATAATGACCCGTGTTCCTCGTAATATTACGTGGACTTTACAACGAAAAGTTTATTACGACGGGCGATTAACAACGAAACGTGTTTCCTTCTTGTTAATTCGTCGTAATGGTCCTATTACGACGAATTAACCACGAATATAACCCTAGTAAAAAAATTATTTTCTTGTAGTTGGAAGATGAGTGTTCAACGAGCACTCTGATTCAAATGCGTAATAGCCAGGAGACAAAACCAATGAAGAAGATGGGGGAGGTGAAGAAGAGAGTGATGAAACTGATATCACCTTTCTTCAAGATGTTCAAGCCTTGTTTGTCCAAGCCATGACCACCAACTTTTGTGTTTACAACACTGAAGACTTTGTCAGTCTTGGTTTGTTCTTTTTATTCGTGTTTTGTTGTCTTTTGTTGTTGAATTAAAAAAAAAAATGCATTGCCATTCCTCTTTTTGCAGAAAATTAACAACCTTTTTACATAAGATATCGATATGTTATCGTTATGGTAATATATATCGACTGAATAAATCTCTCATAGGTTTGGATAAATTTAAGATTTTAAATTTGTAAAAAAACACATTAGATTTAGATTGATAGCTAAAACCGAAAGTTCTAATCAGCTGGATTTGGTTAAGAAGCAAGTATGTACATCATTGTATTTATATATAAAAAAAAAGTATTTATATGGTATGTACATCATTGTAAACATTATCCTTATCTTAGAAGCTTATATGTCCACATTGTTCTGATGATATGAAACCCCAAATTTGATCAAAGTAGCTTATTTCAAGCAAACTAACAAACCCTAGGGTTCACCAAGACAACCAACAAAACCCTATATGTTAATCAAAAGTAAGAAAAACACTTCAACTGCATGAACACTTCATGCGACGACGACGAGTTTCTTCAACTGATACAGAAACTTACGAGCAGCTGATATGTGGCGACGTATNATGAAACCCCAAATTTGATCAAAGTAGCTTATTTCAAGCAAACTAACAAACCCTAGGGTTCACCAAGACAACCAACAAAACCCTATATGTTAATCAAAAGTAAGAAAAACACTTCAACTGCATGAACACTTCATGCGACGACGACGAGTTTCTTCAACTGATACAGAAACTTACGAGCAGCTGATATGTGGCGACGTATGTCTGCATTAGATTTGGCGTTCTCCAAACTGTAGCTCTTCAGAAAGATGCAACGACGTCGTCTATACTCGTCTTCCTGACTCCATACAAAGTCGGCACTCAATTTCTCTGAAGTTACTTTTTTATTCTTCTTCTTCTTTGAAGTTACTTCTTTGTCTCGTATTGACTTCTTGGGGTTTCCTTCGTGATCCCAAACTTTTCCATAGATCCAGTTCTCGTTTTCCATCATGGATATATAAAAGCTTTTTCTTCTATCAAGCTAAGCTCTCTTGGTAAAAGACAAAAAACTGACGGATTAACTGAATAGTGATAGGGTATTATATATANCTTCTTCTTCTTTGAAGTTACTTCTTTGTCTCGTATTGACTTCTTGGGGTTTCCTTCGTGATCCCAAACTTTTCCATAGATCCAGTTCTCGTTTTCCATCATGGATATATAAAAGCTTTTTCTTCTATCAAGCTAAGCTCTCTTGGTAAAAGACAAAAAACTGACGGATTAACTGAATAGTGATAGGGTATTATATATACACAACCTTGTTGTTGTTTATATTCCGGTTTTCCTTTTTTTTTAATGTTAAGGAGTTTTACTGGATCAAGGATTTGAGAGGATATTGTCTTTTTTTTCTTTTCAAATCCCGTTCTATTGTGTTTAGCATTTATAAATTCTATATAAAATCTAAACTTATTGTATTAGTCATTTATATAAATTTTTCCAAATTCCCGCTAATTATTAGAAAAAATGGATTTTGTCAATAAAATCTATTAAATGAGATATGGTAGGATTCAAATAATATTTTTATAGTGAAAAGCAATGAAGCTAAATATCATCTCATCTCCTATGATGGTATTTTATTTTATTTTTCAAAAAATAAAATGAAATAAAAGAAATTACTTCACATTTTTAAAAAGAGAACCAAATTGTTTTAAACAAAAGTATATTTTAAATCAATTTTAAAATTTTATATATTTCATAAACGAAAATAATATCAACTGATAGTAACTTTTAAATAAATATATTATTTAAAATAAATATTTAAAACTTTACAAGTCTTTTTCCAAAAACTTTGAAATTTCTTCAAAAACCTAGAAAGCTTGTAACAAATTTCCGTATATATTCAAATCTCGGATTTTCTAAAATCCTTGATTCAATAAACCATCCTATATATATTGGAACTTAGAAGGTCTCCAAGCCTAATTAGAAAATTTTATTTACAAAAGAGCATACTTTTTTTGAAAATATGTATTTATTTTTGGAAAATTTATTATATTAAATTTAATCAATTATCTAATATAACATATAAATTTAACATTATTAATATAAAATATATTTGTAATTGTATAATAAATTATATATAAAAAAATTATTAAATCTATCATTGAATTTAACCTCTAATTTTTAATGTAAGAACTCAAACTGGAAAATCAATTTGTGAAATAGGGTACACTTGGTTTAGGGACTGTATATGTTTATTAATCACCGTATAACATTTTCCATCAATTACTGTATAAACTATATCTACATTACTGACAAAGAAAACTATACTTAAAACATAGTTTCATTTTCAACAAAAATCTAACAAAAACAATTGGGTTCCAAGAGTTAATTAAGAGTTTCTATTAAAAGAATAAATGTAATTCCCCAACACAGGTAACGTAACCAAAACAGACTAATTTATTGCAATTTAGCCTCAATCATTGATCAGTAAAGATAAATTTGCGCTCAAGAACAAGAAATCAAATATTGAGAACGCACTAACTGCAAGATAATAATTTAGATTTAAAACCTTCCCTTTAGTAAGTTTACATTCGTTACTCACACTAAGCTACTGAACAATAACAATCTAAACACCAAATCTCATAACACAAACACCGAATCTTCTCCCAATGTCTTTCCCTAAAAACTCTCCCGACCCAAACGTCTCTCCGCCACATCGATGATGCCGCTTCGTCCAACTAGAGAAGACAGTCCATTTGCACCGTTACCAACCGCTCTACCTAACCCAAGAGAGTCTAATGTTGTCTATTTTGGACCAAACACGAATGAATTCCTTATCATTAGCTCTTTCAAACCCGAGCTGTTTTCACCGCCACAAGGCAGTCCCAATGCTAGACCGTGAGGCACCATTGAGTCCATAGAAGAAGAAGTTGATGAAACTATGCCTAACCCGCAAAGCAATGAACCACCAGAAGAAGCTGCTCCCATTTGAGCTGCTTTTTGAAGCAGAGCAGTTGCTGACATTGCCGACAGAGTTGGGAACAAAGTTGAGCAGAGAAAAGACTCTGTGAGTAAGAAGGATAAGAAGAGGTGTATATGCTTGGAGAAGCTGATGAAGATTCAAACAAGCTTGCGAAAGCCGTCGTTCCTTGTAACTGGGTTTGTGGTCTGGGTACCAGGGCTTTTAGCTCAAGTGGTAAAGGGTTTACAGCTGTGAGTACCGCCACCTGGGTTTGAATCTCAGCCACTACGGAATTAACATTTCGGCATCGCCAGGGACAGAGGACCGACAGGTGTCAATACGTGATTAGTCTGGATCACTTCTGTAAGGCCAGAATACCTCTGTATAATTCAAAAAAAAAGGTTTGTTGTCTGGTGTTGATTAACTGTAGGGCAAAAGCTTAATACGGTGAAGCTACCAGGGTCAAATTCCGACCACTAGAAAATTAACATTTTGACATCGCCAGGGATAGAAAACTGACACGTGCATTACAAGAAAACAGCGCGATTCCGATGACAATTTTCATCGGTATGTCATCGGAATAAGGGTATTCCGAGAACATACCGACGATTACGGTCATCAAAATTTTTCGTCGGAAATACAAATTCCCGCGGAATTTCCTCGGAAAATTCCGAGGGGATACCGAAAACCAGAATTCCAAGGGAATAGCGAGAACATTTTCCTAGGACAATTTCGTCGGAATGGCCTCGGATTTTTCAGATGGAACATTCCTCGGAAAAATTCCTCGGAATATTCTGAGGACACACTCCCTCTCGGAATATTCTGAGGAACTTGAACCCTCAGAATAATCCGAGAAACAGGAGCCCTCGGATTATTCCGAGGACACTAACCCTCGGAATATTCCGAGGGATATTGTCGTTGGAATATGCTGAGGGACAATATCGTTGGAATATTCCGAGGGATAGTCTTCCTCGGAATATTCCAAAAATTAATTTTTTAATAAAATTATAAATTAATTGTTTTTAAATGGAAATTCGAAAATGTAAAATCAAAATCGAAATTGAAAACATATTAAATAATATTCAAAGTTGTACAAATAAAAAAAACATTCAGAGTAAAAAAAACAGAAACTACGGGAACAGCTCGTTCGGGTACATCCTCTTCATCATCTTCATCATTCGCTCATTCTGCCTCCTCATTTCCTCCCATCCCACCTCTTTATCTGCCATCTTGACCTCCAACGCAGCTATGTGGTCATCCTTGTCCTTCAGCTCCTCCATAACCATTAGATCAACAGAAGGCGGTAGTACAGCAGGAGGAACCGATTTGGATCGACGATCCAAACCGACCAAACGTCCCTTCTTCTTTGGAACCGACTGAAAGAAAAAATAAATAAAATTTTAATAATAGAAAATAAAGAAATAAATGAATTGAACTTTAAAAAAAAGATCATACCGATTCAACGATTTCGTTGATTCGAGTCCGGGATAGGTTGGTCGAAGCCGTCGAAGTGGAGTCCAGGTCAGTTTGAAGCTGAGATAGACAGGTTTCTTTATCTTTCTTCAGAGTTTCGACCAGGTCGACCACCTCCTTCACAAGGCCATCATCAATCTCTCCGGTCTGCTTGTTGGTATGCGCCCTCTTCATCAGTTTGAAGTCATCAACCGGCTCGCCATCATTTTCTTCCGCCTAGAAAAAAACATAGGTTAAAAAGAACATTAGAAATTAGAACAAATGCATAAAAAAATAAAATTAAAATACTTTAAAAAAAGAGATTGAACTTACCATGCTATCTCCCAGAGTGGCAATAGAATGGGCATCCAAGTTGTGTATGTACATGCCCTTCCCGCCACGTTTGCTATTGCGGTTGGTGGAGTTGGTCAAAGAGGTGTCTTTCGTCGCGTCTTTCTCTCAATGCAGACACAACTCCTGCCAGACCGTGATGTTTATCGACTTCGGGACCTTTTAATAAATAAAAATATAAAATAGTTAAATAAAGAGAAAAATAGTTTAATAAATTTAAAAATAGATTAATAAACCGATATCTTATAATCGAGCCACTTCTGCTTCCACTCATAGATCTGCTTTCCGAAGTTGTCCATAACTTTATGGACGAAGGCATTACGGACGAAGGCCGTATGATCGGGATTCCAGGTGAACTCTTGCTGAAATAAACACAATTAGTAGAATTTTTATATTAAAGATTAAAAATATAACTAAAAAATTAGAATACTTACCGCAAACTAACGAAACCACATCTCCTGGTCCTCGAGAGGGAACTGAGTGAAAGTTGGATGTCCCTTCTTGAGGTCCGAGTACATCATCTGGTTGATCCATGCGCTGATCCCGTTCCCGGATCGGTCGAACCTAATATATGAAACAAATTATTAATAATGAATCAACTTTTAATAAAAGAAAAAAAAACTCTTAATTACCATGATTGACATCGTCCCTTTGGACACTGAGTGATATAGAGAAGATGGTCACGACTGGGCTGTTGAACCAACTGTTCAACAGTCATCACTCCTGACTGGAGGAGCGGGAGGGGGTGCAACAGCGGGAGAAGGAACCTGATCAGAAGGAACCGTAGCGGGATCTGTAGGGTAGGTGTTCTGGGATGATGAAGAACCCCGAGAGTGGCTCCCCGTACCACTACGACCTCGGGGTGCGGAACGACGAAACCTATAAATTAAAAAAAAATATAAAAATAGTTTACTAAAAATAAATTGAAAAATTAAATATTAAAAATAGTTTAATAAATATACAAATGATTTTAAAAATCCAAAAAGAGTTTTTAATCACAAAAAGTTTCATTAATATTAAAAAAAAACTTTTAATAAATATAAAAATGATTTTAAAAGTCCACAAATAGCTTTTAATCACAAAAAGGGTTCATAAATGTTAAAAGAACCTTTTAATAAATAGTAACATAGTTTAATAATTAAAAATAGTTTTTAATCACAAAAAGGGTTTCATAAATATTAAAAAAAAAACTTTTAATAAAAAAAATATTTTAATAAATAAAAAATAGTTTTTAATCACACAAAATGTTTCATAAATATAAAAAACCTTTTAATAAATAAGAAAATAGTTTAATAATTAAAAAATAGTTTTTAATCACAAAAATATTTCATAAATAAAAAAAAAACCTTTCAATAAATAGGAAAATATTTTAATAATTAAAAAATAGTTTTTAATCACAAAAAAAGGTTTCAAAAATATAAAAAAAAACGTTTTAATAATTCCCAAAATAGATTTTATATACAAAAAACCTTTGGATTTGATAATTTCCAAAAAAAATATTTTTGAAAATCAACAAAAATAACAACAACAACAACAACAACACAAACAACAACACAATCGACACAAACAACAACACAATCGACACAAACACCATCTAATTCCTCTATCTGCCAATCACCCTAACAAAATCACAATCTAAAGCATCCAAAATCCCTAAAACTAACTTCAATCCTAATCAAAACAACTAAGGATGATGGGGATTGAGGACTTGCATGATTTCAGAAAGAAATAGAGGAGATAGAGGAGTTTTGACGGTGGAAATCGACAGAGGAGATAGAAGAATCGCGAGGGAGGTTTGAGAGAGATCTGAGAAATGAGCAAGAAGAACCTTCTCAGGTAAAAATAAACATGACATTCCAACGGACAAGATTCCTCAGAATTTCCTCGGAATCCACTTAATTTGATTTTCACGAAATTTTTGGCGGTCCGATTTCCCGGTTAATGAAAGTATTCCATGTTCCTCAGAATTTCCTCAGTATATTCCGAGGAACATGAAATATGCTCTGCATGACTTCCTATTGGTCAGAGTTTTCCTCGGAATATACCGAGGAAATTCCGAGGAAACCTTGTTTGGGGTTTCAAAACCTAAATTTTTTATACGCTAGATCATTCCTTGAAAATTTTGACAGTTTTTCAATGGATAACATTGAAGACTCTTTCAATAGATGCCCATAAACCATGAAATTATAAAATTTAGAAAACGAGTACATGTCTTGTCATTTTCGTTCATTAAAGTGTATAAGTGTTATCTTATTGTTTAGGAATTTTGTTTATACAATTGGAAGAGAGATTATTACTTGAAAACACACAAGTATTTCACTTTATAATCAATCTAAGACAGTAAATAAGGTTTATTTAAGCCACATGCTCAATTTCTAAAGGGAAAAACATTATTTTCGGATCAAATATCTTAATTCCTCGGTAATTTCTCGGAATATACCGATGAAATTCAAAGGAAAAGGCATAGTTCCTCGGAATTTCGTCGGTATATTCCGAGAAATTACTGAGGAAGATAACCCCTAAATTTAAATCATTAAATGCAAAATTTACCGAGGATATGTTGTTTTTCCTCGGTATTTCCTCGGAATTGTATTTAAAAAAAAAGATTGTCGATACTACTCTGTTTCCGGCACTTACAGATGGATTGCTCCTGAGGTGAATCATTGAGCTCAATTTTCTACCAAAATTATCGATGAAACATATCTAAATTAAAGGTTTTCTTTTGTGTATATCTACTGCAGGTAATTAACCGTGAGCGTTATGATCACAACGTTGATGTTTATAGCTTTGCTATAGTTTTATGGGAATTGCTTACCAACAAATTACCATTCAGTGGACTCTATGACATCAATGTGGCTTATTTAGTAGTAAGCAAGGTAAAAAGTCACACAATCAACATTTCTTTACAAGGAAAATCTCTCTAAAAACTATATGATATGTTGAAATGAATTGATCTTCTATTCTTACAGAACAAGAGGCCAAGTCTTTGTGATATTCCCGATGATGTTGCCTCCATTCTGGAATCTTGTTGGGCAAAGGATCCGAAGGCACGTCCTGAGTTCAAGGAGATTACTGTCTTATTGTCAAACTTACTAACCACCTTGTGCTCAGATAATAACTGTGGATTCGGTGAGCAATCTGATTTAGAAAGCGTGTGCTCGGACAACAGTAGTAATCGGTCAAATGCGTAATAGCCAGGAGACAAGTCCAATGAAGAAGATGGGGGAGGTGAAGAAGAGAGCGATTAAACTGATATATC